TAACGTGAATGTGCACACAATCACATTAGTGAGCTTGTTAAAATGCAGTTCTGATTTTGGGTGTGGGGTGGGGCCTGAAATGATGCATTTCTAATAAGCACCTTGTGACACTACAGCTGGTGTGTGTGGATCCACACTTCGAATAGTGGCAAAGTTCTGTTAGAACTCCCTTCAAATGCATAAAACCATTAATATCTACCTACTCAGTTGACACAGATGTTAAGTCTGGGTATGTAATACAACTCCCCATCTAGGATTCAGCATCAGAGGGTGATAGAAATGGACTGTTTTTTAAGGATAACATGGGTTCGGATTCTGGATCCTCCATTTACTATTCTGCGCCTCAATTTCTTGATTTTTTTTTTTAATGGAGTACATAATACCTTAGAGCGGCGGTTCTCAACCTTCCTAATGCCGCGACCCCTTAATACAGTTCCTAATGTTGTGGTGACCCCCAACCATACAGTTATTTTCGTTGCTACTTTATAACTGTGATTTTGCTACTGTTATGAATCGTAATGTAAATATCTTTTTGTTTTCCAATGGTCTTAGGCGACCCCTGTGAAAGGGTCGTTAGACCCCCGAAGGGGTTGCGACCCACAGGTTGAGAACCGCTGCCTTAGAGGTTGTTATGGGAATTATGTAAAGTGTCCAACATGTAGTAAATGCTAAGCAAATAATGCTTTTGTTTTGCACCCTACTCTCCGTGAGCATAGATACTGTCTTAAACATAGGTGTTCAGTAGATATTAACTGGTTGTCTCTTATAAGGAATCCAAGGAAAGGATGGTTTGTATTGGCTAGTGCATATAATATGTTTTTAAGAGTAATAACTGGCTCAGTTACAGTTGAAAGGCCTTACCAACTTTAAAACTAATGAGAGAAGTAGTAACATTTAGTCTGTTACTTGGTATGGCATTCATTGATTTGCCCTTTTTTTGGTTCCCAAAGGAAATCTGAAATAGAATACTACGCTATGTTGGCCAAGACTGGTGTCCATCACTACAGTGGCAATAATATCGAATTGGGCACAGCGTGTGGAAAATACTACAGAGTGTGCACACTGGCTATCATTGATCCAGGTATGCTTTTAAATCAAAAAAATGTTTCCCTTTATGCTGTAATACACATATTTGCTATACAAATGTCTTTGGGTCCTGAGTTCAGCTGGTGAAAATTTGGATATATTGAGGGATATCCTATAGTTTTATTTCACAGAGAATTGATAGTGAATGTTAGTACACTCACTGGCTTTGTTATAAGTGAATTTTCTTTACTTTGCGATCATGAATTTTGTTTGATGAAGCACCTAAGAAATAATGCCTTAGGACCTTGGTAAAAGGTGTAATTATAAAAGGGGAGAAGAATCAAGTGACATAGAGGGAAGTAATCCTTACTGGCTTTTTGAAAACAGGTAAAATTGGTTGGAAAAAAAGGTGCCTGCAAATACAATTGACTCTCTAACAACACAGGTTTGAACTGCATGTATCCACTTATATAAGGATTTTTTTCAATGGATTTCGCATCCATGAATTCACTAACTGTAGACCAAAGATAGTATTTTTGCCCGTGGTTGGGAATCCATGTATGCAGAAGGCTGACTGAAGTCACACACGGGTCGGCAACCCTAATCCCTGAGTTGTTCAAGGGTCAAGTGTACACATCATTGTTGTTTTGAACTTACGAATTTTTAATTCATAAAATACTGCGAATATTCTCGCTGTTCTGATTTTGTAATAATCAGTGCAGGCTAAAAATTCGCTATATTAAGACCAAGCATGTGTCCCCAGACTTAGTTCTTTCCCTAGGTCTGGTTTTATAAATGCTGGTGATAAACCAAGTCTGATTTATATGATGCATCTTAAGTGGGAAATGTCTGACTCTGATCAACCTCAACAAATGACAGCATAGCTAGTACAATAACTTGAAGATAACCACTGCTAATTTTATGATTACCAGTTACCATGAAAAGAATTGTAAAATTATTGTTTTATTTTCTAGGTGATTCTGATATCATTAGAAGCATGCCAGAACAGACTGGAGAAAAGTAAATGTTGCAAAATTTTTCTTTAATAAAACTGGCCAAACTTGGTTTAAAAACTGCATTCATTTTAGTTATTTTTATATCTTTTTGTTTCAGAACATTTTCCTGAAGATAGAGGGAATGAGGCAGTTAGATGTGGTGGTGAGACTTGGGTTAAGAGCTATATATTTACATCCCAGTTTCCATTTTCCCATTTGTGTAAAGGAGCACAGTGAGTCCCTTTCCTGTATTGGATTTTCATAATTCCTGTCTCGGGACATTGTTGGCATTTTATATTTGAGTATGTTTGAGAGGCAGCCAAGTTCAAAACCCAGAATTTAACCAGAATTGCAGGTTATAGTCCAGCTTAAATCTACCAAATCTGAGTAGCAGAGGATTAAATGAAATATGTTCCTCTCCACCCCAAATTTTGTCACTGCCATGTTATATCTCCCAAGTATGTCCCATGGAACCCTTTTCCCATATGTGTGAATATCCTTTGGAACCTTCAGAGGAATTAATTTGGGGTAAAATACTGATTTACATAACATCTTGATTTACAGAGTTGAATGGTGCTGGTAGGGTATACCCTACACAGTCTTGGGCACTGAGGGAGGTTGCAGAAGTGGCAGAAATGACAATGTCCTGTGACTTTAGAATCAATCAGCTTGGTCAGGAGGTTTTTGATGGTAGATGAGTGAGACAGGAGATGAGGATGCTTTCAATACATTATTCAAAAACTCAGGTATTTCCTGAACTTGAAGTCAGAAGACTTCCTCATAGCTATATAACAACTATGGGTGAGTCAAATTCCCAGTTTCACAAGTGAAGGAATTGGTTTCTTTTCAGGCTAACATTGCACAATTTTAGTTTGTGTCTGAAGTTAATCTGAATTTATGGATATAATTTGGAGAGTAGCTGTTATGAACTAGAGTTTTTTTATTGGTTGTTCAGTTACTATTTCTCAATTTAGGAGTATTGACATTTTTCAATGGGGCAGTTCTTTCTTGTTGAGGGCTGTGGATACTACAGGATAGCTCTCATTCCTGGTTTTCCTTCCATGTCATTGTAGCAACACCTCCAAATGTCCCATATTTTCAAAGTTGCATCCTCTGGTTAAGAGTCACAGTTAATGAAAATCTGTAAATGTCCTAAGGTGCTCATATCCAGACATTGGCGTGCCCAAAGTCATTAAAAATGTTTGAAATCTTTATCTTGATATGAATTGCTTAGTCAGACTACTTCTGGTCTCTAGTGCTGTTAGTCTGTTTGTATGGTTCCAATGTTTCAGTCTCTTAGGTAAGGAAGTTTATGAACTTACTTTCTATCTATTCAGTCATTTTCTGCTTTCAGATTGACCTTTCATGCTATTTGGGTTATTTGTCCCTCCAGGTTGACTAGTTACAATTTAATAAGAATACAGTAGTGGACGTTCCAGTATACCATTTCTTTGCAGTGGTTTTGTTGCATGATTTTTTGGCTGCAAGCATTTTGGAGTAATGGATTTTAGAAAATGATGTATGATTTCTAGGTCCTTCTCCCCAGGTAGTGGTAATACGCTGTAAGACCATCTGGCTTTTACCTTTTTATATGTGCTTTTTTGTGCACTCTCACCATTGTTTCAGTGAGAAAGTTCAGAGAAGAGGAGTTTAACGCCTAGCAGATAGGAAACACCTCACTTGTGGGCTGAGGCAGATGTAATGAAGTGCCATTAAAGTGCTGTTAGAATTAGAAAATGCCATTAGCCAAGAAGACCTGGGAGGGTCTAAGGTGGTATTTTTAAATGTTTTCTTCTGATTATAATGAAAGTAATGTGTTTGGCTATAATATATGGGGGATTGCAGGAAATTCCAGCCAACTGAATTTAATGCATACCTATACTGAGAGATAGGAAAGGCCAAAGAAGAGGCTGGATATTGTGGCAGGAACAAAAGGTGTATAGAGAAGAAAACAAATTTTAGGTGGGTTGTGGGTGCAATTATTGGGTCGTCAGGAAAGTCATGACGCATTTTTGCATTGAAAAACAGAAAAATATGTCATGACTTTTCCGATGACCCAATAGTTGGACCTTCTGGAAGATGGTTCATGGAAAACGGTTCTCTTTGGTCTTCTCTCCTGCAACTCTTATTTCCAGCTACCCCTTAGACTTGCTGCTCCATCTGCTTGCAGGGGCATTTGATTTCCTTCCCCCTTTCCTTCCTTTTTCAGGTCACCCCAACATCCTCCTGTCTAGATTGGGTGTCTCAGTTACCATAGAACCTTTTTAATGGTATTAATCATATCTGTCTCATTAAACTAAGGTCCCAGAGGACAGAGTCTCAACATTTTCATCTTCATCATTTATTATGTGACTGGCACATAATAATTCAAAAACCAGAATGAATAATGACTTGGAGGACTTAAACCTTTACTTAATTCTCATTGATATGCTTGTGGCTTTCTAGTACAGAATTTTACTTCGTTGATAGTAGGTTTTGAACATCTTGTACATTTACCATTATTTAATGTACTACCTCCTATCTGTTTGCTTCAGAAGATAATTTATGAGTAGTAGTCTGCCCAAGTACTTTGCCTCAGGTAAGGTAAACAAAGAACTCACTCAACGTACACTGAGGTGGCACCATCCTTGTGTCAGGTGCTCTTGGCTGCTGAAGAATAAAAACAAGATAATCTTGAGCATTTAAAACATGTTAGACTTTACTTAGTGTACATGTTAACCCATTTAATCCTCTTGACAATCCAATGAGATAGCACTGTTAGTCCCATTTGATACCATCAAGGCTTAGAAAGGTCACAAACTGGAATGCAAAACCTTTACACCTGAGACATACAGATCTAGCAAAACAAGGAAAATGGAGAAGTATTTCAAATTTTAGACAATCTTCAAGTTCAGTATCTTGGAATAATTGTAAATTTGTTGGCTTGATTGGAGGCCTTTGTTTCCCTTGAAGGCATTTTCGTCAGCAAGTTGGAGGAAGTTATAAACCCTGTGATCAAGTGTGTTTTAACAGCTTAAAAGAAAACGGGAGCAGGGGCAGTCTAGAGCCACTAGAGGGAGCCAGGACTTAACAAAAAGCAAAGTAAAAATGAGTTCATTGGAAGCAATGCCTGAACTGATTACATCTAACCCAAGTTAATACTTTACGTCCTAATGAAAATCTGTTTTTGGAATCAAATGGGTGACTCAAATATAAATATAAAGGTTTAATACTTTGAATCACAACTTTTATAACTTGGAAAGAATCATCAGATGCGATCTTCCCACTACCACACTGCCTTTTGGGAGGACATTCTGATGGAAACTCTGGTCTTGAAATATTTAAACAAGCTTATTCAAAGTATTTTGTTTGTAAGGCATCATTTGGCTTCCAAAACCCATGGGAAGGCTGTCACTTTAAGGCAGGACCAGGCAAAAGCAAATCACAGCCGCAGTATGTAACAGAGCATCTTGCATAGCTTATTTCTCACGTAAAGTCATTTTTGGATTCTGAAGGACTTTTTTTCTCATTAAATTTATACAAGTTAATGTCTACTTTTTGCCTTTATAGCAAACCGGCGTTCTCAGTACTAATTGTTTTACTTTACAACTTTACAGAATTAATGATAGCCTGAGCTTTGAGGCTCTGAACTATTTTGATTGTAATCTTTGATACAATGACGTACAAACACAGTATTTCAAATCTTCATCTGTATTTCAGGCGATTTTCTAGGGCTTCCATTCTCTGTGTCATTTCTTCTAGTAAATCTCAAGTTAAGGAAGAGGAATCCAAATTGCCTGTTTTTATTTACATTCAAATATAACGATTTAGTTACATAAAAATCTGTCCTAAAAATATAAGGCTTTGTTTATTTCTATTTATGTTAAGTATTTTAAAACCCTCACCTGTATTATAGTAACTAAAATATGCTACTAAGACTAAGTCTTTTTTCGGATTAAATACTTGAACATCAAAGCGGGATAGCTCAGTTCAACTTCTTTTGTAATTTTAATTCTAAGCACTGTTTGTAAATTAGTCTGTCATAGCACACCTCCCTGAGCCAGAATTGATAATGTTGGGAATGTGGCAAAGAGAAGAAAAGGATTAGGCCTTGGAAAGTAAGTTATGACAGAAGAAAGATGTAGAGTTTTCACTCATAATGCCAGATACGGCCAAATTTAGTAATGTGGTAGCAACCTTGAAGACTTCCGACCTGTGCTCTTTTATATAGAACTTCCTTAGTCTCTTGTGAAGTAGACCCTCAGAGTTGAGGGGGGAAAGGAAGAGAGGAGCATTAGAATAATTGTGCGTGTGAGTATGTCTGTCCGTGGTCTCCTCCCCCTCTCCCCCAGGCTCCTTCATATCCTCCACCAGCCCCCTTGGCAGAATAGCAGCCAAGATTCATCATCTGTTAACCACTGTCAGGTTATTTTTCTTAGGGGAGCATATTTTCAGTTTTCAGAAAGGAAATTGCTATATACTGTCCCTTATATAATCCCCTGGCACAGAGATAGTTGAGGATTACACCACTTCCCTATCAACTAGTTGATGCATGTTGAGATAGATATCAGCCAGCTTTAGTAAGCTCATTTTAAGTTCAGAGCAGCTGGCAGGATGTTCAGTGTGTAAAAGAACTAAGTCTTCATTTCCCCATTATCCCAAAATATTCCTTTTATTTGTAATATTGTTTTAATGAATCTTTGGATCCTGCTGTGTCCTTGGTGGAATGCTTCATCTTACAGTGCTGATATAAAAGATCTTTGCTGTCAAACCAAAAACAAAACAAACAACAAAAAAGGAAAAACCAACCACATTCCTCTAGAAATTACTGCCCAAATGTGGCTACAGTGTGGCTTGGGGCCAAAGGAAAGGTTTGGAGCTTAGACAAGAGTTTGAAACCTCTTCATTTTACATCGTTCTTTGCCCATACATACTGTACCTCAGACCAGTACATAACTTCCATTTCCTCCCAGCAAAGAGAGTTAATTAACTGTTTCTTCTTTGTATACTGACTGGCTGACGGGCCTTAATTGCTAAACCCTCTAGAACAGCAAGTACGTGCTTGGGCCTCGCCACCAAGCTTGGCTTGCTTTAGCTCTCAAACCTATCAGGCTGCTTAAGAAAAAGGCCTTTCCTGGAGTTCACTATTGACTATAGAAATAACTTCATTTGACTTACACCTACATGCAGTATTTGTGATGTTTTGATCTTTAGTCTTTGCATTCCATACAGAAGCATAATACTAGAAAAGGATATAGCGTTGTGTTAATTTTCTTACTTCTTCATTTGCAAGGTTCTGGAACATGATAAGGTTTTCACATTTGCATTGATCTGGTTTTTCTTCCAAAGGACTTCCTGAGAAAGCAGATGGAAAGTGTTTACCTCTATAACCCACCAGACTTCCCATAATAATAGGACTGAATCAGCATATGGAGGAAACCGTAGTGAAAGAAATGTTCAACTTTTTCCATGCAGCCAGATCCAGTAAATCCTAGGAAAGGGCTTATAACACTGGGCGTGGCTTTTCCTGTGGATTTGGGGAAGACCACTCCAGTTTCTTTTAGATTTTTAGTTCTCATTTTACTTAAGTTCTATTTTCCCCATCCTATTTCCTACTTCCTTCTTCCCTTTCCTCCTTTAAACTGAGTTTGTTGGCAAGCTCTCAGGGTGGTATCAGGTTAACTTACAGTGCATTTTACTGGGAATTACCTGAAGATTTTGTCGAGTGGAGAAGTTTTTGTGTAGATCGTGAAAGACTGTCTTCTTCAAACAGATATCCGTGTTGCACTGCAAAATTAGAACAGGAAAGTAGGTCTCGGATATTTATGGTGACTGGCTCAGACTCTGTAAAGAGAAGGAAAACTGAAGTCAAACCTGCTTAACACAGTTGTATAAAATAGCCATCAGCTGTCAGAGTAAGGTACCTGGTATTCTTAGTATGTGGTACACAGCTTTACTTTGGGACACACTGTGGCAATAAGACTGTCAGCAGAGAGGCTATTACCAAATATGGCTTAAGGTGTAGAGTAAATGTTTTCTATCTGATCCAGGGAAAAAGCCATAGTTAACATCATTCAGATATTTCACTTGACAACTTTTGTCTGGAGGGAAACCATGGTGGAAGCATCCACCAGAGGCTCAAAAAACATTGCTTTTTAAAATTTACCTGTTGGCTGGTGGACCCTCTTGGGCAATTCCCCTGCTGGGGAGTCCTGACTTCCATCAGAGTCTTCCAGAGCTGAGAGGAAAGAGGTGACCAAAAGGAGTGATAGTTGGCTGCATGCACACATGTGTACTTGAGGAAACTGGACCCAGACCAACCCTTACCTACCTGCCATAACCCAGGATATTTTGGTTTTATTTGGTAACGCCACAGATTCCAAAAGCAATTGGTTACCAGATAATCCAAGACCACTCTAAGGCAGTTCTCTCTAGTAAGGGAACCCTGGACCCCTCAAGTGCATCTTAAGAATGCTCCTTAAAATGTCTAGAAGGTAGGGTGGGAAAAAAAAGTTCTCCAAGAATTAAGTTGCAGTGGCAGCAGCTCCACTTGAGGCATTTCAGCTTGAATAAAACAGGCTAGAGGCAAAACATTACCTACTTGCATTAGAAATCTGAAAGGCATTCTTTCCCCATCTCCCTTCATCTCATTGTTTTTTTCCTTTATAGTATGGAGTAACATCATTTGGACTGGGATTTTATTGGTGACTGAACCTGGGACATGAGTAAAAGGGAAAATGGACAGAACTGCTCTATGTCAGCATGCCTTATGTAGGGCACAATTAGTGAAGTGGAGGAAAGCAGAGACCTCTTGTACATAACCAAATCTAAATTCTACAGGGCAGTCTAATGTTCTGTAAGCAGACGTAGTCCGTGCAGGGAGGCATTCTTTAAAGTTTAAGCAGTGAGCTTGAAAGTATTACCGTCCCTTCTCACTCCAATTTACAGGCATATCCGGAAATTACGTGTCAGCTCCTGATTTATATAATGGTTGTTTCTTAGTTAAAGGATCATCTCTACAGGGTGGTGAGGATTAAGTCTGCCTGTGTGTCAAAACGCTCATCAGCACAGAGCAAGCTCTTGAGCAATGCTGGCTCACTTTTGTCTTCTCCCCTCTTCTTTCTGTGTTCAGTGCTTCCAGATGTCACTGGCTCTGCATAGGAGGGAGGCACTTTTTTGAGCACTTTGAAGGAATGGGTTGAGAATTTCTCATTCAAAAGTTCATGCTGGGGCCGGCCAAGTGGCACGTTGGTTAAGAGCTGGCTTGGGACGCCAGAGGGCCCCAGTTCAGATCCCACATATGAGGGCCAGTGACACTGCCCTCTACAGCTAAGAAGCTGAACAACAGCTCAACCTGGAGCTGAGCTGCCGTGAGTTGCCGGCGATGGCATAGGCTGCAGCCCCTGCTGCAGTGGGTTGCCATGGGCTACCGTGTGTAGCCAGCAGCCAGCGTGAGCGGCCAGCAGCCGCCGTGAGCGGCCGTCCAGAAGCCGGCGACTGATCTGCCTCGCCCGGGAAGAGCGCAATGATGGTGCCAACTTGGGCCAGTGAAGCAACGTCCTCCACAACTAGACTGAAGAACAAAATGACAGCAACTTGTCTGTTCCCCTTCCCCCAATTCCCCAGAGCTGTTCCCATCCCCCAAATCCCCAATAAAAATCTTTAAAAAAAGAAGTTCATGCTGCCCTATTGGCTAAGATCTCTCCTAGACATAAGCTGTAGTACCTTCACATATGCCTTTCTTTAGTTTTTCACTTATCTCGCCCATTGTGCTGAAGTCTTCAGCATAGAAGAGATGCTTGTTTGTGGGCTCAGAGGCAATCTCTTGCAGTTCTTCCTCAATGGCTTTTCCTACCCCGACAGCATACATAGTTATACCTAAGGTACGAAGCAAATGAAGAACAAGGTAATTAGAGTTGTGTTCCCATGGTCTGGAAGTTGTCCCCAGAGCCAGCTAGATGTGTGGTTTGAAGGGTCCATGTTAACCTTTTATTTTCTCACCATTCTTATTTTGGCCCAATGAGCAAAAGAGAAGGACCCAAGAGAGGAAGGTGAGGCATCTAGGAGGTGGGGGAGCTAGACCATCAACCTGTTGCTCAGTTCTAGGCAAGGTCATTTAACAAATTTTAACTTTTCCCTAAAATAGCCTTGTTGATAAGGTAGAAAAGAGCACTATGGCTTACTAGATGGGAATCTCTTCCGAGAGAAATCTAAGACACTTACAACCTAGTTTCTACTTCTCAAAGGTACAGGATAGGAACCTTAAATGGCCTGGGGCAAGGTGAAGCTGCCTTCTGCCCACCCCTCGGGAGGACGAAACCTTGTGAGGAGGTGCTAGGCTCAAAAGGAGAACCTGCAGACCACTGGAAACCCCCAAAGTCATAAAAAAGAACCACCCCAAGAATCAACCTTAGATATCAAAGGGATATGAGATTGCTCCAAATGCTTTTCTCAACAAAATTCATCAGTAGAGTCCCTTACCATATAATCTTCATTTGAAAGTAAAATACTGAGAGCTTAAGTTCTACTTGATTTTCAACATTGTTCACCGCTTATATCTTATTCTAATTCATTGACTAGGTTTTTTAAAAATACACATAAAAAGGGCTCTTTAAGCCAAGGGGCAAGAGTTATGTCTTGTTCCAAGTCTGTGTAAGGCCAATAGCCAAGTTCAGCATATTTGTCTTGGAGCCCAGTGACTATGCACAACTTCCTAAAAAGGATAACTACTATTTTAAGATTGTGTTCGCTATGCATAGGGGTAATTAAATTCATTAGAGGATGTCACTTAGATAAATTTGTTGATTCAAGAACCAAATAAACGTCTTTTTCTCCTACCACCTGTCTTTGGGTGATTCATGGAAATGTGAGTGAGGGAAAGAATAAGGTAGATTGGTCTCAGTGTGACAAATAAAAGGGCTAACCAATGTCTTTGGAGACAAAATGCTTTCCCCAGTATTCAAAGAATGCAGGCTATAGTGGCCCCTGGGTTTGACATGAACTTTTGCAAGCTAGTCTAGAAGAAGAGGAACTGGGTGTGAGCAGCCAGTTTTACAATTCACCCAGATTATTCAGCAGGACACTTTGTGGCTACTACTATGTTGGGCTAGGAAAAAGTTGTGAATAGTGTGGTAAGCATTATCAACAAAATGGCCTTCACAAAGAGAGATTGAATGCTGATGTGAAACAGCCTTTCTGTGAAGGGCAATGGAGTTCACGAATGGGATTGCTAGCACTTTGACTCCTTTGTTCGTTCACTCAGCAAGTATTAGTCACACATGTACTACGTGCCAGGCCTAAGCACTGGGTTCATAAAGTCCTGGATGAAGTCATGGTCTGTGCATACCCCTCCCCCGTTACAGGACCTGCTAAAGCATTGTGCCCTCAAGAAGTTCTTAAAATGGCTTTTAAGCAAATTTCTTCACAACCTCAAGTTTCCTCATCTCCCCAAGGATCCCACACTCTACCTTAAGCTGTCTCTGCCAGCCATCCTAGGTTTTGGGTTTCCTTTCCCAAAGGCCATCCTTCTCTGTCACACTTCATATCTATCCGCAACTAAAGTAAGTAACCTCTAGTCCCTCCTGCATTATAGTTGGGGTCAGAACACCTCAGAGAAGAGGCTGAGCTCAGCTGAGCAACGAGTCACAATCTCCTCCGAATCACAATCTCCTCCAACGTTTTAATTTTCTCAGAAATTAATTTTGCCTCCTGCAAACACAAGAGTGTTTGGTATCCTAAGGCTATTGTGCTTTCAGTGTTCACTTGCAGTACTGGTTTTTTTTTTTAAAGTATCAGAGTTCCTCCCACCGGGAATCTGTTGTTAGATGTTTGGGGAGATATTTGGGACTGTCATGTATTTGTGGTTTAGCCAGAGACAGCACTTTGCAGGGTTGATTCTCTCCACTGGAGGTCACACACTGGCTAGTGAAGCACAATAGATTACTCAGGTGTGGTCTGTGTCTAGGGCTAATCGCACAATCTGCAAGACCTTCACATCCTTCCCAAATCCTTTAACTCTTGTGGGGTCCCTTTAAGGCCTCTAGGTGGCAGTTTAGTAAAAGAGTGTAACAGCAATTGACAGCCTTTCTGTACACTCAAAGAATCTCACTCCTATGACTAGCTGTGACCACTGAGTTTAAGAAACCTGAAGCCTTAGTGGTGTAAACCACACCTCCATCCCATTTTACCGTTGGCCTTGGCTTTACTGGCCCACTCGGAGACGTCATCCTGAGCCCGTCCATCTGTAAACACGATAGCCACTCGGGGCACCCGTGCGGAGAGAGGTCTGGCCCCTTCTGCTTGGGTAAAACTTCTTTCAAACATGTGTTTCAAGGCCAGCCCAGTCATAGAGCCCTTGCCCATGTATTTCATGTGGGCCACAGCTTTTTTCATGTCCTTGGCTGAGCTGAAGTTTCTCAGGGTAAACTCTGTGCGGACCTGCGTGGAATATTGGAGCAGACCTACTCGAGCGGCTTTGGGGGAAATCGCCAAGGAATCTATAATTCCAGTGACAAACTGCTTCACAATCTCAAAATTCTCTTCTCCAAGGCTCTTAGATCCATCGATCACAAAGATCAGGTCAATTGGGCCTTCAGAGCATCCTACAAGAAGGAAAGGAAAGTTGAGATAGGTAAATGATAAAAAAAAAATCATTTATGCACAAGAGTAGAAGAAAATTATACTTCAGTTGGAGGCATAACTACTTTGGAGACCCACTTTTGTTCTTTAGATAATATACAGGACAGACAGAAGGTGTTGGGAGAGACACACAGCAGAGGTACAAATCGTCTAGGAAACCAGGTCCACACTGTACCCTGGGTCACCGAAGCCAGGTCTGGAGGGACTGTGTGCAAAGTACACTGAAGGGTCTGACAGCACCCAAAAGATTCCTATAACTGTACTCCAGGAGGGTGACATCACCCCAGTACTGGCATTCTGACAGACAATGGAGAAGGAAATTCTTAAAATTCAGCTCAGCCATCACCTCTTCTAGGGAGCTTTCCTAGTAACCCAGCGTGCATTAGTTACTCTTTGTGTATCTCTAACACTACTAATTTATTCAACAAAAATGTGCTCATTGAGCATGTGCTTCATGCAAGGCAATAGGAAGGGCAGGATTGCAATAGTGACCAGGACAAAATCTCTGACACCAAGTTGCTTTTAGTCCAGTGTACCCTATGCCCTGTGCAGGAGCTGACTATGTGTGCGCCTAGTCCTCTCGTCTGCCAGTTATTCCTCATCAGGGACCATGCCCCATTCATGTCTGTACCCCCAATGCCTGGCACACGACAAGTTTGTTGACAGAATAAGTAAAGGAGGTGGTGTCCAGTATCCTACTGACCTATTAAAACTTAAAAATAGGGTTAGCTCAGTTGGTTAGAGCATCGTGTTGATAACAGCAAGGTTGCTGGTTCGATCCCTGCATGGGCCACTGTGAGCTCCGCCCTTCCTAAAAGAGTCAACTATACCATTGTAGCATGAAAACAATATGTAACCAATGACCATGGCTGTTCCCCAATAAAAAAATTTTAAATAAATACATAAATAAGTAATCACTGCGAATTCTTTATCTATATGGGAGCTTTCCAGGCAACTCAGATGGTTGACAGTAAAAGCTTTATGCAAATATTTAAGCAATCTGGGTGTGGAGAGTTTTTTTTTGTTACTTGGGGGGGCATAAGAAAAATTTATAGATCCCAAGTGGATGATCTCATTTCCAACAGTCTACAGTACGCAATACAACATCCTCTTATGTACCAAGCAAGCAGCTGGCCAATTTTTAATGTGAAGCACAATATAAGCAAGTAAAGACACACACATGCAAAAATACTTCTATGCCTGGCCTGAATAACAATGCCGACATGTGTGCGTGCGTGCGTGCGTGCGTGTGTGTGTGTGTGTGTGTGTGTGTGTGTTGGGGGCTTGGGTTCCTCTCTCCATTAAGTGCTTGTCTTCATTACTCAACCTATTGATTCTTTATTAGTGAAAGAGGAAAAGGCCAATTCAGAGCTTCATTTACATTCATAGCCTGTTCCTGAATCAACCAGAAAAAGACTGTCAGGTGGAATGCATGTGAATTTCAGAAATACCGGAATAATTTTCTGGCAGCAAATCTATTTTCTCCTCTTCCCCATACACTTTTTACTTACAGAACAAAACCAGCACTTGCAGGCTCCACGTACAGAGGGGCAGAGAAGGCTTCTCCAGGAAACAAGAATGCTAGGTGAAGTGGAAGGGGCATCAGGATGAGAGATGCCAGACTTTCGCTTTCAGTCAGGAAGAATGACAGCCCCACTTGCCAGCTACTTCTTTGCGGGAAGTTCACTCCAACTTTCCTTGGGCATTTTCTTTTTGGTAGTTAAATCAATTGATTTGCTTTGAGAGCTTAATTTTCACAGAGTTCCAGAATTCCTGGGTTGAATAAGACCTCTAAAGGTCATCTAGTGCAGCCCTCCTGTTGCTCACATATTTACAACATCCCTACCCAGTAGTCATTCAGCCTGGGCTTGAACACCTCTCCTGATGAGGATCTCATCACCTCACCACTGAAACCCCATCTTTGGACAGCTCTGCTGTTGATGATGACAATAGCTATCATTTGTCAAGCACTTAGAATATGTCAGTACTGGGCTAAGTACCTTTAAATACATTATCTTATTTTTTCCTCAAGACCATTCTGTGAGGTACAATCCTCATATTATAGATGAAGAAACTGAGACTCAGAGAAGTTAATTTTTCCAAGGTCACACAAGTGTATGAATGGGGGTTCAAATCCAGATCTGTCTGATCCAAAGCTCATGATCTCGACTGATTAATGACACAGTTTCCCTGAGAGAAAGTTTCTTTGTCCTCTTGCTGAGCTGCAACCTCTACCTAGTGTCTGTTCTTTCCCGGGGGGTGGAGGGTTGGGGGAGAGGGTCATAGAAATCATGAATGAGGTGACAGTCACTTTGGTATTTGAATGGTACCTCAAGACTTTTTTTCTACAAAGACCCCCAGGTTCTTCCTTTATTTATTTATTTTTAAAAAGATTTTATTGGGGAATTGGGGGAGGGGAACAGTGTTGGGGAATTGGGGAAGGGGACCAGTCAAGTTGTTGTTCTTCAATCTTCATTGTGGAGGGCGCCAGTCGCCATCTGCCTGTCCATCGGCAGCTCATAGCCTCTAAGCTCAAGGTGCTGTGTTCAATCTTAGATGCAGGTGGGCATAGCCACCATCCCATGCGGGAGTCGAACCAGCAGCCTTGTTGTTAAGAGCACACGCTCTATCTACTGAGCCATCCGGGTGGCAGCTCAGCTCAAGGTGCTGAGTTCAGTCTTAGTTGCACGTGGGCATAGCCCACCATCGAACAGGCAATCTTGTTACACCAGCTGAGCCATCTTGCCACCTGTTGGCAGCTCAGCGACAGCTCAGCTCGGGCACAGTGTCACTGGCCCATGTGGGAATCGAACCAGTGGTCCTGTTGCTCAGAGCTCGTGCTCTTAAGCCAACTCTTATCCAACTGAGCCACTTGGCCAGCCCCACTTCCTTTATTTTTCACTTGACATTGTACTGCACTTCACCATGATGGTTTCTAAATCATGTTTGTCTCTATCCTTTCTCTTAAAATTTTTTTCTATAAAATAATACATGCACATGGAACAAAGTTCAAACATTACAAAAGAGTATTTATGTGTGTGTGTCTCTATCATCTACCTATCATCTATCTATCTATCTATCTATCTATCTATCTATCTATCTATCTAGCTAGCTAGCTAGCTATCTGGAGAAAATGGATGTCAGAGGAAGCCTCTGACAAAATACAGCAGCGGGGGCCCGGCCGAGTGGTGCATTGGTTAAGAACTGGCTTGGGACGCCAGAGGGCCCCAGTTTGGATCCCACATATGAGGGCCAGTGACGCTGCCCTCTACAGCTAAGATGCTGAACAACAGCTCAGCCTGGAACGGGGCTCCCAAGAGTCGCCAGCGACGGCGTAGGCTGCAGCCCCTGTGACAGTGGGTTGCTATGCGCTACCGTGTGTAGCCAGCAGCCAGCGTGAGCGGCCGTCCAGAAGCTGGCGACTGATCTGCCTCACCGGGGAAGAGAGCAATGATGGTGCCAACTTGGGCCAGTGAAGCAACATCCTCCACAACTAGACTGAAGAACAAAACGACAGCAATTTGTCTGTTCCCCTTCCCCCAATTCCCCAATAAAAATCTTTAAAAAAAAAAAAAACCCCAGCAACGGTAATATACTATAAAAACCATTCAGCACCATGTTGATTTCACCTACAATATCTTGGGATTACAGCCAGAGTTACTTCATTCTTTTTAACAGCTGTATAGTATTCTACAGTATAGCTACACCATAATTTATCTAATGAGTCTCTTATGGATGGACATTTACCTTGTTCCCAATTTTTTGATGGTACAAATAATGCTGCACAAAATACCCTTGTATATACATACGGCTTTGCACATATTGGTAGGATAAACTCCTACAAGTGGAATTGCCTTTAAAATATTGCCAGATTGCCCTCCTAGAGGTTGTACCAATTCAGACACTTAGAGGTAAATTTATAATTACTGTTACAATATACCTTTGCCAACATAAGGAATCATCAAACATTTTGATTTCTGATAACTAATAGGTAAAAAAAAAGGTATCATAACTTTAATCTCTTCCTATACATTTTGCTTTTTTTTCTTTTATGGCTTTTATGTTTCATGCCATTTTAGAAAGGTCTTCTCTACTCTGAGATTATAAAATAATTCAAGATTTTTTTCTGCAACTTGAGCTGTTTTCTTTTTTTATGTTTAAACATTTGTTCAATCCCCTCTCTTTCTAAAGTGCAATGTTCAGAATTAAATGTAATTCTCCAGCACAGAGCACAACACAAATCTTAAAAGCTTTTTCACAAGTGCTGGAGCTAAGCTCTCTTCCCCATTCTGTATATATGCATGCATATTTATATTTATATTTATGGAAGAAGGAGAGGTGAGGGATTTGTTCCCTGAAAACACTCCAAAAAGTAGCTACTCCCAAACCAAATTAAAGCAGAAAGCCAAGTTCAGACCACTTACTCTTGCACCGTCTTCCATCCTCAGCTAGAACAAATCCCTCTGAGCATTTGCAGATGTACGAATTGCCACGATTAACACAAATGTGTTCGCAGCCATGAAAGACTGATTTGCAGACATCCTTTCCTGAGGAAAACGTAGAGAGTTGAGCAACCCCATCAGTATAGAAATGAGCTCGATCCAATAGTCATGTCAGGAGACATCACAGAAGTAACCCATTTTGTAAAAGTCTATCTCTGTTCAAACCCCCTTTAAAACATATCCTTTTTCCATCTAATATTGAGGACAGTGCATGGTGAGGGAAACACTTCTCTCAGAAAGCTCTACTACCACAAGCCTGAATGGTAAGGTGGGTGGTTGGTGTCCTGAATTTATTACTAATTTTTAGAATTGTTCATTGTGTTTTGGGTTTTGACTTTTCCCAAGCTAGTGCTTTTTATCTCTATAGACTTCTCAAACACTCCAGTTTTAATAGCCTAATGAACACTTCTTATGGGTGAGGTACTTTACATTCTTTAAAGTAGTTACAGCCCTTTAGTCTTCACAACATCCTGTGAGAAGAGGACGGCAGGAATAATTATACCCAACTTATAAATGAAAAAACTCAAAAAGTTTCAGAGTTGCCCAAGGTCACGCAGTAAGTTGATGACACAGCTGAGGCATGACATCTCCTGAGTGCCCCTTCTCCACGGCATGAAACCTACTGTTCCTTTCTGTCATTCGCTCCCTGAAAGGGGAAACTTCTGACAAAATTGAAATTGAGGTACTACAGATACCTCTAGGAAGTGAGAATGGAGGGATTTGATTTAGCAGTCAAATTCCAGAGGTAGAGTTGTACCTATTGAGCAACAAATGTGCTGAGTGAATAAAAGGTGCATGTGTGTAGGCTTGCATTTATAGGAATAAAAGCATGGACAAATGGCTCGGGCAGACAAATGAGCAAAACTACAGACGTGGTTTCTACAGAAGGGACACTGCAGTGTGAAGGCAAAACAGGATCATGCAGGAAGCCCCGCAGAGTTAGGCCAGGGCCCCACAGGCATCCTAGGAGTCAGTGGTTCCAACAGAACCTTCTAAAGGTAGGAGCCCTTCTTCATGGTGGAAAAATGAGGGTAGTGAGTTCCATCCAACTCAGCTTTGATGACATGTGAAGTGACCCCAGTTATCTCAAAGGAATCTGTGAGGAAATTCCCAAAAATCAACCCCAAAAGCAAGTGAATTTATTTTGTCTTGACCAAAAAAGGGCCATTTTGCTCACTGGAACAGAGTGTTAAAAAAGCAAGTACACAGTGTTAAACCCCCCAAAGTAGGGATTAACAGCTCAGAATCTCACAGTGGAGAAAAATCCTGCCCTGTGCTCTTCTAATGCCTCACTGAACTAGTGTCTCCCTGTCTTTCTCTTCTTTTGAGTGCTGTGATGGTTAAGTTTATATGGTAAAGTGCCTAGATGTTAGGTAAAACTGCAGTCTAGATGTTGCAACTGAAGGTGTTTTTTTTTAGATGAGATTAACATTTAAATCAGTAGATTTTGAGTAAAGCAGATTATCTTCCATAATGGGTGGGCCTCATCCAATCAGAAGAAGGCATTAAGGGGAAAAAAAAGATTGAATTTTTCCAAGGAAGACTTCTTCAAGCAGACTGTCTTTGGATTAGAGCTGCAACATCAGCTCTTCCCTGGGTCTCCAGCCATTCTCTTTCTCTCTCTCTCTCTCTCTCTCTCTCTCTCTCTCTCTCTCTCTCTCTCTCTCTCACACACACACACACACACACACACACACACAAATACACACATGTATATATCTTATTGGTTCTGTTTTTCTGGAGAGCCCTAATACACCTTCTAAGTAAACTTTCAGAGTCTGTTCTGAGTGATGTATAGAAGCAAATGATGGAATGGATAAATAAAACCCATAGAAGATCCCTTCATCCCCTCTACCCTTACTTATAAGGTCTTCTAAGAAGAAAAAGCACTGTAATTATCCTTTGATCCTCTAGTGATTGCTGGCAGAGATTCTACTTCAGTCCCATGACTAGCCAGGCACTGTGCTAGGCTCTGGGCACCCACACAAATCTTGTGGAGAGGGCTAACAGCTGGGAAAAAATGCAAAGAAGCAAAAAGCCTGACAACTCAGGACCTTGACTGAGAAATTCCTAAGAACTAGGGGCCTACTGTATTGATCACTATCAAAACACTTCAAAGCACCCAAGGCAGGAACTTGTAATTGTGACATTAATTGTAATGGAAGATTTTAAAGATTGTATGAAGCTATAAAACTACCCAAGTCCCACAGATGGACAAGGTCATCTCTACCTAAGAAGCCACTTACTTCTGCAGCGTTTCCCATCCTCAGCAAGCCGGAACCCCTCCAAGCACTTGCATATGTACGACTCGCCACTGTTCACACAAATGTGTTCACAGCCATGGTCTACTGCTTGGCAGACATCTTTCCCTGAGGACAGCAGAGCAAGTTAGAACAATTTCACCAACATAAAATTTCCCCAGGCTTCACCTCAGAGGATCCATCCAGCTCAGCCCCCAGACTCCAGAGACACTTGAGCTCAGTGATCCATGGGGAAGAAGGTGAAATTGAGGGTGAAGTTCAGTGGTTCTAATTCGGGCTAACTCTTCCAACTTCCTCACTATCATCACCATCCTCATTCACCAGCACCTACTTCAGTGTCTCATATAAATGCAATCCATCACCAGCTTTCTGCAGACGTAGTTTCTGTTATCAGAAAGGAAACACTTTGGTATGATTACCTAGGAGATTAAACCTCGATTTAGATTAGCAGCACTGAAATCTAATTTTGGCTTTGTCCCTGACATATTTTGTGATGTGGAAGAATCACTTAACCCCTTGGAGCCTTACCTTTCCTGTCTGAAAAATGAGAGTAATAATTCCAGCTATCCATCTTTTCTTCAAATATGTCAATATGAGTTGCCCTTTGTAAAGTGCTTTGAGAAGCTTGAGAAAAAGACGATTGATAGGGATGTAAATCATTTACTCTGGGTAACACACTCCCCTTTGATTATGTGAGGTGTGCTCAAACAATACGGTGAATGTTTAAATAAAAAAATGTATTACAGTGAAAGACACATTGCCATTAATCCCCCTCAAAATACTCCCCCTCACTTCGAACACACTTATCCCATCATTCTTGCCACTTTCTGAAGCAGTTCTGGAAGTCTTGTTTTGTGAGTGTCTTTAGTTGTGCTGTCATGGCTGCCTCAATGTCCTCAATCATTTTGACTTTGGGGGAGGAGCCAGAAGTCACACGGTGCCAGATCCAGTGAATAAGGTGGATGAGGACACACCATAATGTTTTTATTTGACAGAAATTGTCGTATACCAGAAGCGATGTGTGACATGGAACATTGTCATGATGGAGGATGATTTATGGCACACTTTAAAACACACCTTGTCTCAACTGTAGTTCACACCCAACTGACTGCACTGAACAAGTTGAAACTTGCCACACACTGTTACTAAGTTTCAACACACTGCTTCCCGTATTGAAGATCCCTGCTTTTCTGTTGGATGGCACTTGTCAGCAGCATTCACCATATTTGTTGATCACAACAGAAAGGCTCTGTGTCACACATTGCTTCTGGTACAGTAATTTCTGTCAAATAAAAACATTATACGTGTCCTCATTCACTGGTTCTGGCACCATGCGACTTCTGGCTCTTCCCCAAAGCCAAAATGACCATGAAAAGAAAACATTTCGAATTAATTCAAGACATTGAGGCAACCATGGGAGTGCAACTAAAGACACTCACAAAAGAAGACTTCCAGAACTGCTTCAAAAAGTGGTAAGAACAGGGCTGGCCAGGTGGCGCAGTTGGTTATGAGCATGAGCTCTGAACAACAGGGTTGCTGGTTCGATTCCCACATGGGTCAGTGACGCCGCGCCCAAGCTGAGCTGCCAATGGGCGGCTGGATGGCTCAGCTGGTGAGAGTGAGGGCTCTTAACAAGGTTGCCGGTTCGACTCCCACATGGGATGGTGGGCTGTGTGCCCCCGCAACTAGATTGAAAGTAGCGACTGGACTTGGAGCAGAGCTTGCGCCCTCCACAACTAAGATTGAAGGACAACAACTTGACTTGGAGCTAATGGGTCCTGGAAAAACACAATGTTCCCCTTCTCCAATTCCCCAACACTGTTCCTTTCCCCAATTCCCCAATAAAATCTTAAAAAAAAAAAAGTGGCAAGAACGACAGAATAAGCATGTTCGAAACAAGAGGGAGTATTTTGAGGGAGATTAATCTTTTACTGTATAACATTTAAAAAAATTTAAACATTCACCATATTTTTTTTATCACATCATACAGAGATGTGTTTTGGCCCCATCTAAGAGGCTTTACTTTCTGAGACATAAGAATGGTCTCATCATGAGATGGTCTTTCTGAGGAATTTGTGCTACCAGAAACAATGAGAATATTAGAAATACAGAAACAGAGGCTCAGAGAACTTAACCAACTTGCCCAACTAATAAATGGCAGAGGCAGAAGTTGATAGAATCTTGGATTCCAGACAGTACATCTTTCCACCAGAGCACACTGCTAAATTGCTGCTTCTTGCCACAGGACATAAAAGAGCAATTTCAGTTGTAGCTCTAGCAGTGACTTTTTTCATTTGTGCATTTGTTGTTTTCTTTTTTATTGTTTAGGACAGTTTTAAATTTATAGAAAATCGAAAAGACAGTACAGAATGTTCCCATAAACCCCCATACCCAGATTCTCCTATAGCATTCTTCCATTAGTGTAATACATGATATAATTAATGGACCAATATTGATACATCAACTAATGTCAACTAGAGTCCACATTTTATTTACATTTTTACCTAATGTCATTTTTCTGATCCAAGATCCTGTTCACGATCCCACATGACATTTGGTGGTCATGTGGCATTGGCTTTTTAGAGTAACTGACTTATACAGAGATCAGGATGATGGATATCATGCAGAGGCCAGACAGACTAACATGAGCCAACTCCAATAAAAACTTACTTCTGCAGGTTTTCCCGTCTTCTTGAAGTATATACCCTTCAAAGCACTGGCACACAAAAGAGTCTTCCCTGCTTACACACAAATGATCGCAGCCATGGTCCCCCAAAGCACAAGAGTCCAATTCTGAGAACCCAAGTGGAATAGGAAAAACAGATGAGGGAAACGATTCAGACATTGGTGACTTATTCAATCTTAAAAGACATTTCAGACACCTTAAATTAAAACAGTATCTAATTCCATAGTGCACATTTCAAAATAGAAAACATGTCTATGAGCAAAAATTCTTAATATATAAAAAGCACGTAAATAAAACAATATCATCATCTCCATAGGAAAAATGAACAAAAGACATGAACAATTTACAAATGGAGAGATACAAATGGCCTATAAACATTAGAAAGTAAGTTCAACTTCATTGGTTATCATATAATGTAGTATCAACTTATCTACATAGCTACTTAGGTATGCATGCATGTGTCACACTTAGGCCATCCATTCATTCATCTGTTCATTCAGTCAACAACATTTTATGAGTCCCTACTGTATGAGTCAGGCACTCTTCTAGGCTCTGGAGATACAACAATGACTAAAACAGGGTTTTTGCTTTTGTGAAGCTTACATTTGGTGGCAGGGGTGGGAGGGAAGACAAGCAGTAGACAGACAAATGTATATGTCAGACGGGGAAAGTGCTTTGGAGAAAAAACAGGGAAAGGGTTGGGTTGGGTTGAGGCATGGGGCGTGCTTGTCATTTTTCATGCTGCAATCAGATAAGTTAACACTGAACAGAGCCCTGAAGAAAGAGAAGAGTGTGTGAAAGAATAGCACCCTGAAGAAAGAATTTGCAAACTGCAAAGGTAGGAGCGTGCTTGGCGTGTTTCAGGAAAGGCAAGGAGACCAGTGTGACCCAAGCAACTGGAGCCTGGCAGGGAGTGATCAAGAACAGACCACACGGGATTCAGAGGCAGTTTACTGGATCTGAGTGAGAAAGGGTCACTGAAGGGTTTTGAACAGTGGAGCGGCATGATCTGATATGGAAAGGATGTAGCACACAGAGATAGAAGAAGCCTACTGCAGTAATCCTGGTGGCCCAGACCAGAGTAGGAGAGGTGGTCAGATTGTGGCCATATTTTGAAGGTAGACCTACAAGATTTGCTGATAGGCTGATATGAAGAGTCCATCTTCACACGGATATGACACATTTCTGAAAGTCAATTCAATCATTTCAGATGGAGTAGTTCTACAATGGATATGCATTGACTTTATTAAGTGAAGGCTCTGGTGTGCATAATCACATTTATAATCAGGCAGAGACCATCCACTTTTTTCTAAGGCATTTTTGCAGTTTTGAAGGGGAGATATGAGAACCACCCTGTGGGTTAGGTAAGACACCCATTGTTATTTTCATTTACCAGCCAGGAAAACAAAGGTTTGGGAAGGTGAATGGCTTGCCAAGATCAATTGCTAGTAAGTGATAGCACCACACTAAAAATGTAATCTTCTAACAATGAATCCCGTGTTCTCCTCAACTGCACGGCATTGCTATATTCTAAGGTAAGCTTTCAAACATGAAGAGAATTTTGCCTGTCTTCCTTTGAGCAGAAGCACTGCCAAAATTCTTGAACAATGGGAAAGTGTCATGTTAATAGAAATTATAACTGCAAAAGAGAGTCAGAGTTGGACGCTCCTGTGGCTCTAAACTTCTCTGGGCACAGTCTAGACTCATTATTAACCCAGAATATTTCCTCACATAGTGTTGAGTGGAAATACAATTGAGTGATCCACAATACAGACAGCTGGCTGGTTGTGGAGGTGAGCATTTTTTTCCCCACCATGAATTTATACTAAGAATACTCGATTTTCCAAGATAATAAAATAGCTATAACTCTTGTCAAGCCATAATCCAGACAGAACTCCCTGAGCACGCTCCTTCTTTCTAGGGTTTCCCCCATGCCCCATCCTGTCCTCTCATCTTCAGCTCAGGCTTTCATCTTGAAGAGCGTGAGTGAGTCTTCCTACACAGACCCTGAAGGGCCACTGACACGCAGGCTTTCCCGATCCGTAGTGGTCTGAGCCTGACCTGGCTGAAGGGCGCTGCTTTCCATATCAGGAGCCTGCTGAGCCCAAAGCCACTGTCTGCAGGGGCGTGTCTTCACCCCTGGCTGCAGATTATCCTGGAGCTCCCAGCCCACTTTCTAAGTCCTCCTGGGCTTTCATCTAGTAGCCGTTTGGATTTTTTGTTGAGTGTGTGCTTTAAAAGCATGTGGAGAGTCTGGGTTTTTTAACTTTCCCCTCCTCACTTCCTTGGATCAGCTGTTCAAGAGAGAGGACGGCAGTGGTGAGTCCTCAATCTTGGATGAGCATCAGAATCACCTGTAGAGACTTTTTAAAAAGGCAAAACAGGCACCCGATTCAAAATTCAAACATATTAAAGGGCATACTTCCCTTATGGAGGGTTATCTGGCAAGATTTTCCAAAGTTACAAACTGTACCTTTAACTCGGCACCTTCCTTTCTGGAATTCTCTCCTACAGATACCTTTGCACAATATGAAGGGTTATACTTTCAAGTTATTCATTCATTGCAGCATCGTTTGTAATGACACGGGGGAAACAACCCAAGTGTCCAGCAACAGGGGACTAGCTACATAAATGTTCCACATTGAGACATTAGGCAGCTGTAAAAAGAATGAGGAAGTGCTCTGTGTAATGACAGGAAGAAATCTTCAGTAAATATCATTGAGTCAAATAAAAAAGGAATAGAATGGAGTATATGGTACACCTTTTTTTTTTTTGCGTGTGTAAGGAAAGGGAGGAAATAAAAATATTTGCATTTGCTTTTATTCACATAAAGAAACATGAAGCACAAATAATAGACTAATAAAGATAGTATGTTAGCTACCTGCTGCTATGAAACAAGTTACCCCAAATTTAGCAGCTTAAAACAACACATATTATCTTACACATTTTTTGAGGGTCTGGAGTCCGGGAGTGGCTTAACTGGGTGGTTGTGGCTCAGAGTTCCTCATGAGGCTACTACAGTCAAGCTGTCATCTGGGGCTACAGTGATCTCAAGGCTCAGGTGGAGCTAGAGGATCTGCTTCCCAACTCCCTCGTGTATTTACTGTCAGGCCTCTCAGTTCCTCAATGGCTATTGGCCAGAGGCTTCAGTTCCTCACCATGTGGGCCTTTTCAACATGGCTTCCCCCCGAGTGAGTGATCCAAGAAGTGAGAGAGCACCCAAGACAGCAGCCACACTGTCTTCTATAACTTAATTTGAGAAGTGACATTCATCAATACTTCCATATGCTACTGGTCACACTGACCAACAGTGAAGGAGGCGATTACACAAGTGTGTGAATCACACAAGTGATTCACAAGGAGATGGGGATCACCGGGGGCCATTTTGGAGGGTGGCTACCACCAGTTATTGATAGGAGGTGGAGGTAGGGAATGGGATGGTAGGGCAAGAGTGGGAGCAAAACTTAACTTTTTGTTTTTTGGTATTGGTTTGATTTTTGAACCACATGAACCTCTTACTGTTCTAAAAATAAAATAAAATTTAAACAAAAATCCTTAATGCAAAACAAAAGATTCATAGTTACAAGTACACCTCTCTCTCACCTTTGACATCCTACATCATTATTTTTAAAGGCTGCACCATTAGCTATTTAACCAGCCTCTTACTGGATGGGCATTTAGGTGGTTCCTAGACTTTTGCTATCACAAGCATTATTGCAATAGATATTCTTGTGCACATAGTTTGGCATAGAATGTGAGGGTATATCTGAACGATAAACATCCTGAATTGGAAATGCCTAGTTTAAGGGTATGAACATTTAAAGCTGATAGATAGGTCCAAATTGTCCTCCAAGACGTTACATTAATTAATGTAAGATAGTCTCTGTTTCAGGAGATCTAGGGCTTTTGGATGTTTTAAAAGCCCCACAGATGATTCCAATAAACTACCAGGGTGAGATGCTGATGGTGGTTCCAACCTTATGTTCAGAGACCTTCCCAAATGTCCAGATTATTCTGCACCTCCACCATCATGAACCAAATGCCACCATCTTTCCCTGGGGCTGTTGCATCATCTGCTAACTGGTTTCCACCTACCCGTTTTCACCCCCTCCAGTCCATCCCTTGCCTCAGTCTGAGTCCTCTTTCCAAAATGTGAATATGCTCACACCACTCCTTCCCTCTGCCTGAGATCCTTTAATGTTTCCTGATAGTCTTGGGATGAGACACAGTATCCTTGGCAAGGTTTGCAGGACTTTTCCTGAAGCCTCATCTGGCCGGCTGTCCCCCAGCTCTGAGTACTTTCTTTCAGTACCTCAGTATTTGAGTACCAAGCCAGGAGCCTCCCATCACAGGGCTCTGCACAGCCATTCCTCTGCCTGGAAGACTCCTTCCTCCTTTACCACCTCCAGGTGTCTTCCCTGACCGCCTGGCACAGGGCCTCAAAGTATCAGGCACCTGCCCCTTTAGTAGCACCACAGTTGTCATGAACCCTTAGTATGTGGTTGGTTTGGGTCTGTGCCAACCTGCTCACTGAAGTGTGCTCACATGGGCCCTGATCTCCAAGAGACCATGGACTATATCTGGCCTTCCGGCCTTACCCCCCAGCACCTAACTTAATGTCTGGCACACAACAGGCCCCAGTAAATACCCATTGAGGAAAAGGAAACATTTCCTCCGTTTTCCACTCTGAAAACTGAGAGTAACTAGACCCACTTCCCAGGGTTTTTGTGCAGATGTTTTAAATGAGAACCAGTGGGGTGTGGATGCTGGTGGTCAGCAGGGCTTCACTCTCTCCCACACACCTAGCTTGCAGAATGCACAATTCACACCTGTTCAGCAAAAATGTCCAGTTTCTGCATGTCAGGGACCTTCTGGGTTACTCATAAATTAGTGAACCACACATGGTAAATTAGAGAATGCTGGGCCAGCCGAGTGGCTCAGTTGGTTAAGAGTGCAAACTCTGAGCAACAGGGTCGCCGGTTTGATTCTCATGTGGGGCAGTGAGTTGCACCCAAGCTGAGCTGTCCCTGAGCTGCCAACAGGTGGCAGGATAGCTCAGCTGGTGAGAGCATGTGCTCCCAACAACAGGGTTTCCAGTTCAACTCCC